TGGTTGAAGATCTTTGGTTAAACCTCAAAGTGTTGAACCGATACAGTCGGAAGGAAGCATGACTGGTTTCAAGAGAGATGACTCCCAGGAAAACACTGCATTGCGCTACCGCCAGGCTGTCCTAATAAATTGGGTAGCGCACTGATTATTGCTGCGTGTGTGTGTGTGTGTGTGTGTGTGTGTGTAAAAGAATGGATCCACAAAATTCCTGGACTCTTCTTGGTGGTGTTATCAGCACCTTAAACAATTCAGCAGCATCAAGAAACTTGGCGATCTCACTGCTCGCTCCTGACCCCAGGTCAACATGTTTAAAAGCACAAGTCCCAAAACCAGCAAGAGTATTGTTAGCCCAGAAATGGAAACAAGAAGAAATTCTGATGAAAGAAGAATGGCAGACGAAATTAATGGACTATGCAGAATTGGACAGAATGGCAGGAAGGATTCGAAACCTGCGGGACCAGAGATTTACAGAAGACTGGAAGAAGTATATGAATTATTTGAAGAGCAACTGTAATCAACAAATTACGCTAGTGGGACTACAAGAAGTTTTGTAAGGAGAAATATACGAAGTGTTACAAAGTAGAAAAAGACAGAGATATTGGTAATGAGTTTGAAATGTAATAGGGAAGATAAGAAATGCATACTGAGAGATTAGATTGGAAAATTTTCAGACAGGATTGATGGAAGTCAAAAATTTGAATAAGATGTAAAAGTGTAGGAGTGCTCTTATTAATCAGAGTTCAATCCTTCCTTTACTTTCAGAACGCCTCATAAAAGTATGTTTAATTACTGTTGAAAATGATATGTTAAAAAAACTAATAAAAAATTATATTAAAAAATAATAATAATAAAGTACAAGTCCCAAAACCAATCCTCCTATGGAAGAACAGCCCATTAATCAAACATCCTAGCCGAGCTCAATGCATGTACCTTTTGCACCATCTGGTGGTTCAGATCATTGTCACGGTATGATGACAATCTTGCACAAAGCACCCAGTTTCCTTGATGCTTGTCATTAACCAAACGAGCATCCTCATTTCCTGACCTGCAGTACACGTTCTGCCTGCTCTTCTGTTGCTCTTGGTCAGGGCTGGAGTCAGATGCAGGTCAGGAATAAAGGAGGAAGATCTCCGTTGTCAGTGAAATTAACTCTTTATCCAGGGAAACAAATGTACAACTCGGCCTCGTGGCCTCAGCAACATTTCTCAGTAGGTCTTGCCCCTAAGGAGCAGTTGACAGAACTGGAGGTCCCGGCCTTCCACACCTCCCTAAGGCTCTGTCTCTCCCAGATGTTTCCCTTTTTTATATATATAAATACATCTTTATTGGTTTAAAATTCAACCTTACAATAAAGGTAAGTACAACAAAGTTAAGCACAGAAAAGAAAAAGAAAAGAAAAAGAAAAAGAAAAAAGAAAAAAAATTCTCCACATCAAAAAGTACAAAAAGTTTAAAAGTAACAAGAAAAGAAAAAGAAAATAGCAATTAAAAGTACCAGGTATTTATACAGCATCATGTCTTATCCAATAAAGTATTCTGTGAAAAGCTTCCAGTCGTTCTCATGATACTTTTTCTATTGTCTTGATTTTCTCACACAGTTTGTTTTATATCTTTTTCCGTATATTCCTCTAAGATGTTTATTCCATTTATTTATTATACACAAATATCATTCAATTCTGCTAGGATGGTATCATTTTTATAATATAGTCTTATGTATTCCTTAAATATTTTCCATTCTCCATATACTTATTGATTTAAGGTTCCCCTGACTTTTCCAGTTTGCTAGTTGAAAATACTCTGTCATGAGTGTTTGCCATTTCTGTTATTGTTGGTGTTATTTCGCCTTTCCAACTTCTGGCCGCCAGTATTCTCCCAGTGGTCTCTCCCAGGTGTTTCCCAAGCAGCCTCAATATGTGTCTACACACCTCTGGTCCCTGCTCTGCCTTCCTCATTATCCTGCACATTCTTGGAGACCAAGGGGGAGAGGAACTTGTCTGTGCTGGTCCCGGGGGCTAACCGAGAGCCAAGGTCTGAGTCCAGTCCTAGGTCGATGGTGCGGTATGGAGGCTGTCCGTCAAAGCTGTAGCTGGTCCAAGGCGGGGAGTCGGGTAGGGTCAGGAACTCTGGCAGAAGAGCAGGACAGGGTGCAGGCAAGAACAGGCTAGCAACAACATTGCTCCCGCAACCTGGGACTGTGGCTGACTGGCTTTTATCTGCCCCAAGGCATAGGGCGGCCCCGGTCCACAGGTGACTCGCCTCTCCTGGCCTGGAGGCGAGCACTCCTCCTGCAGGAACTTAGTTCCCTCTGCTTCTCTGCCCTGAGCCTCTGCAGCTCAGGAGAGACTGGAGGGTTACCGGACCCAGAGGCAACCTCCTCTTCCCCTGACAGGGCTGAGAGTGGAGCACCTGCAGGCAATGGGACCTCCATCACTTCAAGAGCCAGAGCAGACTCACCTGGTGCCTACACCTGAGGATCCAACACAGGTGAGGACCCTTCAGGCTCAGGCCCCAGCCCCAGCTCAGCTGGTTCTGGAGGCGGGGACTCCTGTGCAGGCTGGGATTCCTCAGGTTCAGCCTTTGAGTCCGAATCCCAGGCCATCACACCGTCACAGCAAGAGAGGGAGACTTCCTGGATTTTTCAGCAGCCCCTTGACCCACCCACCCCCTTCTCTTCTTCAGCCTTGGAGTCTGAACTGCTCCCTATCACAGGCTCTTCCCGCACACTTCACCCTGTTGCCCCTTCAAGTATCTGGCACCTCCTCCCAGTCTTCTCCCTCTGATCTCTCCTTGGTATCCCATTACCTCTGAGCTTAATTAGCATCAACTGGAGGTGCCAATAAAAAGTTTATTAACAGTTGAAAAATATCTTTGCTACCGTACCCAGTCAGGGAATAAAATCTTTTGACCGAGACGTCACAGAGTTTGGCGAGTCATCTTTAAAACAACTTCTGTTGTTGTCCACTGCTTCCGGGAAGATTACTCTGCTGAACAATTGAAAGAGGTTTTACCTACACACAAGTATATGCGCAGTGAGAGTGTGTGGACAGTGAACTTTTAATAGTGCCAAGTGTGGGGACTGTGGAGACGCAGAACTGGGACTGGAGAAGAAGAGAGATTCTGATGGATTGGAAACTTGCTTGAAAGGAATAAGCTGTTACTATACAGTAGACGCTCGGGTTGCGAACGTGATCCGTGCGGGAGGCACATTCGTAACCCGCAGCGCCCCGTCTGCGTACATGCGGGTCGCGATTCGGCGTTTCTGCGCATGCGCAAAGCACGATTGTCCAGACCCGGAAGTAACCCATTCTGGTACTTCCGGGTTCGGCATCGTGCGCAACCCAAAAACGTGCAACCTGAAGGGTCTGTAACCTGAGGTATGACTGTACTGGGGTTGGATGAAAAGTGTTAATGTTTTTGATTGTGTGTGTTCTAATGCCTTTGTTAACTTACCTGTTATTGTTCTACAGGGAAGCTGCGTTCTGCTGCCTGTTCGTTTATCTGGGAACAGATACCTTGTTCTTGGAGAGAGGTAGTGTTGTTGTTTTTTGGGGGGGGAGCGGGGAATCAGTTGTTATGCCTGTGGCCCCTTCTAAACTTTGCACCCAGCAGGGTTGCAATTCCTGGAATAGCCAGGCTAGCTTCCTGGTGTGGTAATGGCCTAAGTATGGGTTATTAACATAACAAAAGAAGTGGCTCAGCAGCACAGGGCAAATGGCTGCAGGGGGCGGCCTTCCTCAACTAACTGGTGGTGAGGAAGACAGAGCAGGTAGCAGGCTGGGAAGCCAGAGTCAGAGCCAGGCCTGATTTCAGCTTGAATCCAAGGCTGTGGCTATGTGAGAAGCAAGAGCCTCTTGGGCTGTTAATGCTGTGAGCCCCTCCATCGTAGACTCAGCCAGGGGTCAGCAAACTTTTTCAGCAGGGGGCCGGTCCACTGTCCCTCAGACCTTGTGGGGGGCCGGACTATATTCTGAAGAAGAAAAATCAACAAATTCCTATGCCGCACAAATGACCCAGAGATGCATTTTAAATAAAAGCACACATTCTACTCATGTAAAAACATGCTGATTCCCAGACCATCCGCAGGCCGGATTTAGAAGGCAATTGGGCCGGATCCGGCCCTCGGGCCTTAGTTTGCCTACCCATGACTCAGGCTTTATATATGTGTGAATAAACGATATATCTTAAAGAGACCACAGTCTCTGCTGTCCCTCATTCCAAGGAAACTGAACCCTGGGTAAGCTCCTGGAACCCCTGGAAATTGGGGGAATTGAGGAAATACGTTTGCATTTTGATTACAGTGGTGCCCCGCAAGACGAATGCCTCGCAAGACGAAAAACCCGCTAGACGAAAGGGTTTTCCGTTTTTCGATGCGCTTCGCAAGACGAATTTCCCTATGGGCTTGCTTTGCAAGACGAAAACGTCTTGCGAGTCTTGCGATTTTTTTCGCTTTCCCCCCCTTTTTCTAAGCCGCTAAGCCACTAATAGCCTTTTAGCCGCTAAGCCGCTAAGCCTTTAATAGCCGCTAAACCGCTAATAGCGCTAAGCCGCTAAGCCGCTAATAGGGTTGCTTCGCAAGACGAAAAAACCGCTAGACGAAGAGACTCGCGGAACGGATTATTTTCGTCTTGCGAGGCACCACTGTATTACAGAATTAAGCATTTCCTTCTGTAAGAAAATAATAATAACAATGTTACTTTTTATAGGCCGATGTATGTAATGGTACTGCTGGTTTTTCCTGTTATGATCAGCCATTCTATTCTGTGTGTGTTTTTCCTATTATGAATTCATGGTAATGGATTTTGGTTTTTTAAAAAGGTATGTTCCATTGAGAAGTGGTGGGATTACCTTCATGGGAGGTTTTTCAACAGAGGTTGGGCAGCCCACATTGCAAGGAGCCAGACTAGACGACCCCGGGGGTCCCTACCAATGCTACAATTCTATGAACAGATGCTTTAGGGTCACATGTCTCGTGCAAATCCTTTATTTGGCAGGTTTTACAACAGGCAGTACCAATTTATGGGGGGAGCTCAATCGTGGTCTGGGCCACATCGGTCCTCGCCGTGACTCAGGCGATGGGTATCGTCTGCCAGGAGAGCAAACACTTTGGTGAACTCCTCAAAAGTCAGTTGTCCGGTCTTGTCAACATCTGCCTTTTTGAAGAGCTCTTTCATGTAGTTTGGGCGGTTTCTGTTCTGTAAGGGAAGATGGGGAGAACTAGATGAAACTTTGGTTGGCAAATGCTCCTCTGAAAACATCATGATCTGCCTTATTCTTTGACCTTACGGGACCAGATATGGCTGGACTACAATTTCCATCATCCATAAATAAAATAAAAACCATGATATAGCTCTCAAGGCTATATCCATTGACGACAGATTGCTGTTCTACAGCTCCCTCTGGTGTCACATTTTTATAACATATTTTTAACGTTTTAACTGACCATTGTAAATAATAATAATAATAATTTATTTTTATACCCCTCCCATCTGGCTGGGTTTTCCCAGCCACTCTGGGCGGCTCCCAACAAAATATTAATAGTAATAGAAAGTGATAAAATATCAAATATTAAAAACTTCCCTAAACAGGGCTGCCTTCAGATTTCTTCTCAAAGTCGTGTAGTTATTTATCTCCTTGACGTCTGAGAGAGAGAGTTCCACAGGGAGGGTGCCACTACCAAGAAGGCCCTCTGCCCGGTTCCCTGTAACTTGGCTTCTTGCAGTGAGGGAACCACCAGAAGGCCCTTGGCGCTGGACCTCAGTGCTGGGCTGAACGATGGGGGTGGAGACCCTCCTTCAGGTATACTGGAGGATTAGTCCTGATTAGTCCTGTCAGTATTTTGCAGGAGGGATAAAATAAAATAAAATCCTTCCAGTAGCACCTTAGAGACCAACGTAAGTTTGTTATTGGTATGAGATTTTGTGTGCATGCACACTTCTTCAGAGACACTGAAACAGAAGTCACTAGACCAGTATATATAGTGAGAGGGTGGTGAGGGGTATTACTCAGAAGGGTGTTGGGAATGGGTGATTGGCTGATAGGTTTGGTAAATCAGTTGACGACTGTTAACGACTGCAATTGGTCTTACAGGAAAAAGCAAGGGGTGAGATGGCCAAAAATAGCTTTATCATGTATAATGAGATAAGAATCCAGTGCCTCTATTCAGACCAGGTCTCTCCATGGTTTTGAGTTTGGTAATAAGTCCCATTCCCACCACCCTTCTGAGTAATACCCCTCCCCACCCTCTCACTATATATAAGGGTCTGGTGACTTCTGTTTCAGTGTACAGTGGTACCTCAGGTTACAGATGTTTCAGGTAACAGACACCGCTAACCCAGAAATAGTACCTCGGGTTAATAACTTTGCTTCAGGATGAGAACAGAAATCGTGCGGCGGCAGCGGGAGGCCCCTTTAGCTAAAGTGGTACCTCAGGTTAAGAACAGTTTCAGGTTAAGAACGGACCTCCAGAACAAATTAAGTTCTTAACCTGAGGTACCACTGTATCTGAAGAAGTGTGCATACACATGAAAGCTCATACCAATAACAAACTTCTCTAAGGTGCTACTGGAAGGATTTTTTTAATTTTATTTCAGCTACGGCAGACCAACACAGCTACCTACCTATATCTAGAATTGCAGGAGGGATGTAGGTGCATACTAAAAGCTCACCCGCCAGGCCTCCCCATTTGGCCCCACATGGCCTTTTGAGGGAAGCTATGCCCAGCAGCCCTGCAACTAAAATCATACATAATGTGGGGCGTTGGTGTGGCAGGGAAGGCTTCAAAGGAAGAATCAGGGATTTGAAGTGGGCCCCCAATAGTTCCTTGGGGACCACAGTTTGGTTAAAGGTGCTGAGAGTTGCTAGGGGACCCTCTTTTCCCCTCACAGCACTACAGTTCCCAGGGTGGTTTAACAGTCCATCCCTTTTCTTGGGGAACTCAGTAAAGACCAGGTCTCATCTAACCTCTGCATCACCTTTGTGCAAGCAAATCAGGATGAACTCTTGGCAAACAGGTCATCCGGATGGCCCCAACATTACAAGAAATCTAGCATCTTAAAAAGCAGAGACATCACCTGGCCAACAAAGGTCCATACGTATAGTTAAAGCTATGGTTTTCCCAGTAGTGATGTATGGAAGTGAGAGCTGGACCATAAAGAAGGCTGATCGCCAAAGAATTGATGCTTTTGAATTATGGTGCTGGATGAGACTCTTGAGAGTCCCATGGACTGCAAGAAGATCAAACCTCTCCATTCTTAAGGAAATCAGCCCTGAGTGCTCACTGGAAGGACAGATCCTGAAGCTGAGGCTCCAATACTTTGGCCACCTCATGAGAAGAGAAGACTCCCTGGAAAAGACCCTGATGTTGGGAAAGATGGAGGGCACAAGGAGAAGGGGACGACAGAGGACGAGATGGTGGGACAGTGTTCTCGAAGCTACCAGCATGAGTTTGACCAAACTGCGGGAGGCAGTGGAAGACAGGAGTGCCTGGTGTGCTCTGGTCCATGGGGTCACAAAGAGTTGGACACGACTAAACAACAACAACAACCTGACTCCCGATTTTTTGCAAACACATTTGCACCACCACCACCACCATTTCCTTTGGCTTCACTCACACAGGCAGCCAGGAAAGTGGGAGCTTGGCTCTTGAGAAGCTCCGTCATGTCCTTGAGGCTCAAGAAGTCATCCTTGCCTTCCCGAGGAGCGAATTGATGGTAGATGTTCACAATGATCTCGAGCGCCAACTCCAGAGTGCAGTGAGGCAAACTATCCGATGTACTCGGAGCCTTGGGATGGGTAACCGGGGGGTGTTGGTGGGTACTCGGAGGATGGGTTGCCATTCTCTGCAATCTCTGCTGACCTGGAAGAGGCATGAAACTGTTAAGATATTCCGTTCCACCTTAAGAGGAACAGGCATGACTGTTGTGTGCCACATGCCTGTTTACATTCCAGCACAGCTTGCTGGGAACTTCCGTTTGTGTATAGCTTTTGCTTATACTTCTTGCTTTGGACATGCAAGGAGAGCAGACATGTTTTTCTTTGTCCTGATGTATGCTAAATAAACTGCTGTGAATATGCTTTACACAGCCTCTTTCTGCCCTTCTGTTGCGAAGAGTTTTTTTACTCTGCTGGCTTGCGTGCTCAGCTTCTGAAAGGCTTCTGAAGCCCTGAGTCACAGTTTGATGCAGAACCAAGGACTGGAGTTTGACCAGCAACCGGCTGGCGGGTTGGAGCCAGCTGGGGGCCTGCCAATTGCCCCCGTTCCCTTGGACACATCTCAACAGAAACGTGTTCATAATCATGGGCCTTTTTGGCCACTAAAGCTATTAAGAATTTAGGAAGCCGCAAGCCAGCAAGATATTCCAGTTCAGCCACCAGCAGCAGATAAGGATGTATGAATATGTCCGTTTTGGTTTCTCAGTTCTCCAAAAGACTATACATTGAAAATACTATGATAACACTGAGAACAGTCATGGCTTCCTGCCCATCGCCCCTTGCAAAGAAAGAACCATGGCAATTGTAGATTGTTAAGGCTGGAAGTCTCTCCTTGTTCCTGTGTTTCAGTCATGTTCCACAGGAATACCTTGCAGGCTGTCCACACCCAGATGTTGTTGTACGAACAGCTGTGGAGGCTGCAGGGCCCTAGAGGAACATGCCCAGACCCCTGGTCCCTCTCACAGAACTCTAGGTTAGGTAAAATCATCACCTAACTCTCCGAAATTATAAAGGCATCCTAAAGGACTCTGCAAATGAGGCAGAAAAGCAGAGGCCTCTTTTGTTTGGCAAGGAAACATTTGAGAAACTATTATTATTATTATTATCAACATCATAATTGCCACCACATTTATAACTCGCCCTTTACCACCAAGTTACAACCATTTAAGATTTTAAAAACAGTTAAATCAGATTACAGGCACAGGAACAGGTGGAACCAGAAAACACACACCTTGGGTGTCAAAGGCCAGGTGAAGAAAGCTGTAAAGTTGTACAGTAAGCCTGCAATTTACACAGGGGTTACGTTCCGGGGATTGCGCCTAAAGCCAAAATTACATATAGTCAAAACACATTTGGTTCAATGGTGGCTGGGTTTGCCAAAGTCCCCTTTCGGCCACTTAAAAACATATTGCCAAAACTTAGATAGGTTGAAGGCTTACCAGGAAGCGAAAAGCCAGATCCACCTCTGTGAGGCGGGAATTCCACAACTTTAGGGGCTGCCACAGAGAAGGCCCTCTCCTGGAGTACCACCACCGCAAACTTCTGAGGGAGGGGGAGCTACCAAAAGGGTCACCTCTGCTCATTTTATCATGGGGGGGGGAGTCCTTTATGGAGGAAGAGGGCCTTTCAGATATTTGGCGCCTAAGTCGTTTAGGATTTTAAACACAAATGGGCGGACCCTGAATTGGGCCCAGAAACAGACCAGTAGCCAATCCAACGCTTTTAGAACAGACTTTATGTGACATCTAAAGGCAACCCCAGCCAGCGGCGGAACATTTTACCCCGCTGCCCAGGGCGGGCACGCACCCAAGGGGGGCAGGGCACGGAGGGTGCCCTCCCAGGCGCAGGATAGCCACTCTGGTGCATGGAGCGGCACGCGTGCCCTGCAACCAGGGGCGGAACGAGTCACCGATGGCGGACATTTGGCGTGCTGCCCACCCGCAACTGCCAAATGTCACCCCCCTCAGTGAAGACACCCAGGGCGGTACGTCCCCACCATAACCCCCTTCCTCCACCCCTGACTCCAGCCACTGTGTTTTGGACCTGTGGAAGTTTTCTGCGACATTTCCAGGGGCAGCACCATGTACCGGTTATTGCAGTCACTGGAGGACAGGTTTTGGCGCAACATTTCTCTAAAGAGAGGGGTTATAAGAGAGAGACTCACCGAGCTTGCCAGCTGATTCCTAGCCGTGGATGTGATGTAGGGCTCTCCTGGCACTGTTTATATATACCTCCCTAAGTCTGGATTTCAGCGATGGTAATGACACAAGATTCAGCTGCTTATGAGGGAGTGATTGGGTGCCACCCAGGAATTACCATACAACCTGTTTCCTGATGGGAAGTCATTAATCCTGACCAAATTCCATATGCGTCTGAAAACACCTTTCATTTTGTCACCTTCCACTCTTGTGCAATGATTAAGAGCCAAAGTTGCCGTGATTGCAGTTGTGTTTCTTGTATCCATGCCTTCTAGCCTGCACTGCAACAGTCGAGGGAGGGCAGGAAGCTAGGCAGAGAAAGTTAGACTTCGTCTTTAGCTTCGCTGCCACCGCTAAACAGCCCTTTCAGCCTTCTTGGACTTGAACTGGCCCAGCCTATTCCCAAGAGTGATTTGAGCAGGATGACAATCAGGTGGGGGCTTAATAACAAGGCCCCAGGGCTAATATTTCCAAAACAAAATACGGTTGTGCTTAAAGGCAGTGCTTACTTTCTTAAAAACAATGTTTGGGGTACTCTCATTAAACACTCGCTTCCGTCTGAGCAGGGCCATCTTAACCGTTGCCTTTAGTGGTGCATGGCACCAGAGCACTGGGCTCCCAGGGGCACCTAGCATTGGAGTCCGGTATTGAGCATTGCAGTCCGGCGAAGAGCCGACAAGCGGAGGAGAGTCCGTTTGAGCACCACAGGTTCTTTTGCTGTGGGCTCTGCGGGGCACTGAGATGGCTAGCCAACTCTTCCCTGCATGCCTGGGATTGGCATAGGGCTGTCAAGGGGCCCTATGGGCACCATGTGCCACCAAGAGGATTCCTCCGCCGCTGCGCCTGCCCCCCATGGGCCGCTTGGCAAGAGGGAGTTTTAATAGTCGGGTGTGTGGTGGGGTATGATTTCTATTGAGTGCAGCTGATAAGGGTCCCCTGCTCTCCCCCCCAGCCACAAAATTAAAAGGGGAGGGGGAGCCATTTCTATGATGTGGGCTGGATGAAGCATCAGGAGTTTGTGCGTCGCCAGCCATCTGTCTCCACCCTTAATCCCTTGCCTACCACTTTTATATTAGGTAGCCGCAGGTCAATTCTGTGTCCAGGGCAGCTGTTTATCAGCTCCATCTGGTATGCAGGCTGAGACCCCACCTGCTCGCAGAATGTCTTGCACTGCTCTGCTTATCTCCCGCTTGGACTACTGCAATGCGCTCTACGTGCGGCTACCTTTGAAGGTGACTCGGAAATAACTAATCCAGAATGTGGCAGCTAGATTGGTGACTGGGAGTGGCTGCCGAGACCATATGACACCGGTCTTGAAAGACCTACATTGGCTCCCAGTACGTGTCTGGGCACAATTCAAAGTGTTGGTGCTGACCTTTAAAGCCCTAAATGGCCTCGGCCTCGTATACCTGAAGGAGCGTCTCCACCCCCATCATTCTGCCTGGACACTGAGGTCCAGCGCTGAGGGCCGCCTGGCGGTTCCCTCACTGTGAGAAGCCAAGTTACAGGGAACCAGGCAGAGGGCCTTCTCGGTAGTGGCACCCGCCCTGTGGAATGCCCTCCCACCAGATGTCAAAGGAAAAAGCAACTACCAGACTTTCAGGAGACATCTGAAGGCAGCCCTGTTTAGGGAAGCTTTTAATATCTGAAGGACTATTGTATTTTAATATTTTGTTGGAAGCCGCCCAGAGTGGCTGGGGAAACCCAGCCAGATGGGCAGGGTATAAATTATTATTTTTATTATTATTATTCTGATGTTGCAACGCAGCCGTGCGATTTCATTTTGCAAAGCACGCCTTCCTGGGGCAGGTGATGATTAAAAACAATATAAAGGTATAATTCCTGCAGCAAGGATAATCCTATGTAAATGCACCTGAGAGTAAGCCCAATTGTATTCAGAGTCAGATTTCCTTCTGAGTGTTGCTGCAGGAAGGCATAGGATATGGGAGGGGGTGTCTGTCTGTCTCCTCTCACTGCTACCTCTCTCCCCTCCACTTCCAGTTTTATCTATTTATGCTAATTGAAAGAAAGCTGGTGCAAAACATGCCAGTGTAAAGGGACAAAAAGGGGCATGTGGATGGTAGGAAGTGGGATTATTATTATTATTATTATTATTAATTGAATTTTTGAATTTATATACCACCCTATACCCCAAGGTCTTGGTGCACTTCACTGAATAAAATCAAAATATAAAACCACAAAATACATAATCAAAATAAAAACAACAACCGTAATAACCCCCCACCCCCAAAAACCACATTTTAAAAGGGCATAGGATCATCACAACATTTAAAGTAAGACAATTAACAAAGCCACTCGTTAGAAAGACCATGATCTCAGAAATGTCTGCAGGAATATTTAGGGGCAACCCAATTGGCTGAGTGCCTTTCTGATACAGTTAAGCTGCATCCTAACTGTTTACTGATTCTTTGTTCATGTTTCCTGTTTTCTTTTCCCAAGCAGAGATAATGTCTTGGCGTGGTGGCAGCTCCCTAGAAAAAGGTCAGCAACTTTGGGGTTCCCCTCTTTAAAAAGGTCAGCAACACTGGGAAACGGGGGGATCCCCCGCGGGAGGGATCTTTGCACCACGGCGCCGGATATGCCAGAAAATGGCAAACTGTTGTGGACACGCGGGGAGCTGGATTTGAGGCGGGGGAAATGAATAACCGAAGGAAAAGGAAGTAGACAAATTGGCCCATCCGTCCCTTTGAAAGGCAAAATCCCATTAGCAAGAAGGTGGTGAGCTCAGCTGTACAGAAAGGATCCCCAGTTCCCAAAGTTCCCAAACTTGTTCTACCAAGGGTTTTGCAATCCACTGGACAGAGAGGCGTCCTTGTTGTTGAAATGTGGTACCTGGAAGGAGAACCAATGGAAGAGCCATCTCAAAAGTCCTCATCTACATCCCAAATCACTTACTGGAACTCTGAAACAGGTAGATCCTTTGAGGAGACTGACTCATCTTCAGGCAGCTTTGGCAATTATTTCCCAATCGTGAACTTAGCAGAGTCAGACCCTTGACACACCTAGATCAGTAGCATCAACACAGATTGGCAGCAGCTCTCCGTGGTTTTGGGCAGAGCCATTCTCAGCCCAGCTGGAAATGCCGGGAATTCGACCTCCGGCCTTTGTCCATGCAGAGACGGCTCTACCAATGAGCTGTAGCCCTTTGTCAAACAAGCACATTTCCAAAATGCAGTCACAGACTAGACACGTTTGTGGGGGCCATAACTAGCCATTCAAAGAAAGGAGGTGCTCTTTGTTGTATTATAGAGTTGGAAGGGACCCTGAGGATCATCTAGTCCAGGCATGTCCGGGTTCAAGTAGGCTGTGATCTACTATCCAGTATCAAAAACTGGCAGTGATCTACCACACTCTCCCTTTGTCATTCTTCAACTTCTTCGCTTTAGGGGCAAGGGGTTAAGGCGTTGTTGGCGGCCAGAGAAACCCTGAAATATACTCGGAGTCGAGTGTGGATTTCATGCTCTTTATTCAGCTCATAGTAGGGAGGAAGGCCAGTTCCCCCGAAATGTCTGCTTTATATACATTATTTACACAATGGGCCCCACGTGATTGGCTAATTCTGGCATTCTCCTGTAGGCCAATCAGGCTGCGGATTCACTTCCACCTGGAGTTGGATTGGGTGGCTCCTGCAGACCAATCAGACTGCTGCATTTTGGATCCTATTGTTCTAGGACCAATCAGACTGCTGCATTTTGGATCCTATTCAACTCAGTACATAACAGGATCCCTAACTGCTCAAAAGCCAGGGGAGTTTGAAAGTACAAGAGAAGCATTGCTGGGTTTTTAATAACCCCGCTCTCCAGCTTCTTGTTCAGAGATTGGCAAGAACTGAACATGAACAGAGAGCTAGGCACCACAAAGGGAAGGAGGCATGCTAAAGAGCTGAGAGATGGCAAGCCAGCTATGTAGGGCAAATGTCTTGGACGTGTGCAGGTAAATGCATGCTTCTTTTTGTATATTGTGAAAATAATTATTTATTTGGATTTATGAAATCTATTTTTGAAAAAGAGGGCTTAATAGTTTAGCTTATTAAATGGCAATGTTATTAAATACACTAATGATGTTCATTGGCCCTTGGACATTTGATTAAGCTCGATGAGTTTACTTGCTTAAATACACAATGAGTTTAAAGGAGTAATAGAGTTGCCTGGAAGTTGCCATCAAGACAGACAAGGCGGTTTCTGAAGGGGCAGCAGCAAACCAGTGAGCATTACAAAGCCCAGCTACACTTGTAACATTCAATATTTTTCTTACACTCGTCCATTATAGTGCTTTTGTTATTTTTCTCGTTGAATAAAACATGGTGAACCGTGTGTCATCGTCACGGATTGCTCTGAAGTCATTTATTCACCAGGTAAAGTCATTTTAGCCCCCACCCCCTATTCCACCCCCAATCTGTCCTGTACTTTGCCTGGCCAAAGGCAGCAACCCTGAGTCAAGCCATATTCCATCTAGGTCAGTATTGTGGACACTGACTGGCAACAGCTCTCCAGGATTTGCAAGTGTTATGGAAATTACGGGGGGGCACATCTTTAAAGTTGTTAAATGGTACAAATATTATGCATAAATGTATCCCTTCAGCTTGACAGCTCAGGGAAGTTACCTAGGTTTAAAAACCACATAAAATCAACTCCTTTGCCAGTTTCCTTCATTCCACCCCCAATTTGCTTCATTGGTCAAGGACTTGGAAACCACTTGATCCCCGCCATAATCCCTCAAGCAGGAGGTCACCTACTCACAGGAAGGTACTCATAGGTGTCAATCGCTGGGCAAAGGCACTCCTTTGAACTTGCCCAGGTGGCAGACTATGCAAACCAAAGTTCTAATGTCCCTTTGTAGTAGGTGCTTAGAATGTACTTCCCAATACATATCCTGTATCCACCTGTTGCCCCAACACATCCCTCCTATATTAATCATGTATAACCCTCCCCTTTTCTGATATAGCAATGATGTAGTGATGATGCTTAATGAACTGTATGCTGGGATAAGATTTTTGTTGTTGTTGTTTAGTTGTTTAGTCATGTCCAACTCCTTGTGACCCCCTGGGCCAGAGCACGCCAGGCACTCCTGTCTTCCACTGCCTCCCACAGTTTGGTCAAACTCATGCTGGTAGCTTCGAGAACACTGTCCAACCATCTCGTCCTCTGTCATCCCCTTCTCCTTGTGCCCTCCATCTTTCCCAACATCAGGGTCTTTTCCAGGGAGTCTTCTCTTCTCATGAGGTGGCCAAAGTACTGGAGCCTCAGCTTCAGGATCTGTCCTTCCAGTGAGCACTCAGGGCTGATTTCCTTAAGAATGGAGAGGTTTGATCTTCTTGCAGTCCATTGGACTCTCAAGAGTCTCCTCCAGCACCATAATTCAAAGGCATCAATTCTTCAGTGATCAGCCTTCTTTATGGTCGAGCTCTCACTTCCATACATCACTACTGGGAAAACCATAGCTTTAACTATACGTATGGACCTTTGTTGGCAAGGTGATGTCTCTGCTTTTTAAGATGCTGCCTAGGTTTGTCATTGCTTTTCTCCCAAGAAGCAGGCGTCTTTTAATTTTGTGGCTGCTGTCACCATCTGCAGTGATCATGGAGCCCAAGAAAGTAAAATCTCTCACTGCCTCCATTTCTTTCCCTTCTATTTGCCAGCAGGTGATGGGACCAGTGGCCATAATCTTCATTTTTTTGATGTTGAGCTTCAGACCATATGTTGCGCTCTCCTCTTTCACCCTCATTAAAAGGTTCTTTAATTCCTCCTCACTTTCTGTCATCAAGGTTGTGTCATCTGCATATCTGAGGTTGTTGATATTTCTTCTGGCAATCTTAATTCTGGCTTGGGATTCATCCAGCCCAGCCTTTCGCATGATGAATTCTGCATATAAGTTAAATAAGCAGGGAGACAATATACAGCCTTGTCGTACGCCTTTCCCAATTTTGAACCAATCAGTTGTTCCAAAGTGCTTGTGACCCCATCCTCGGGGTTCAAAATTCCTCTTTGAAGCTGTTGCGCAATAAACTTTGGTCTACAGCTATTTGCTCCGGTTGGTGGCTGGACTCCTTCCTTTATTCCGCAGGGACCCGCGGGCTCTGCCCAATGAGCTGGGTGACTGAGCAGCCTCGCACCTAGATTTTTCCGTAACATCAAGCAAGGGGTCTCTCTCTCCCAGCCCTACATGGGGATGCCAGGGACCAAACCTAAGACCTTCTGATTGCGCCAAACAATAGCCCTTCTCTAGTTCCTGCTTGCACTGGCTCCGCCCACTGGCCCATGCCCCCAAAAAAACCTCGCTAAGGAGGGAATGTGGCCCTGGGGCTGAAAAAGGGTTCTCCAGCCTTATATGCGCCATGAACCTGAAACTCGGGCAATTGTACTATGTTTCACAACACCCCATAGACTTCAGGAACGTTGTGAGTTGATCATGAAGGCAAACTTCTTTTCCTTGTTATTTGTTCCAAGCCAGCGCCTGGTATCTGCCTGTCCTTCCTGTTATTGCGGTTCCTTTAATTATCCACTGCTCTTAGCCATTGATATGCAAATCCTCCATTGATATGCCAAGCAAGTTGTTCTGTGGCCCCATTTGCACAATCCAGGTTACCAGATTCGACAAGCAATAGCTGGCTTTTCCAAGGCTTGCAAGGCGGCCTGAGTTATTAGTCGTGGGTGGATGGGCGTCGCTGCTTTCCGTGTTTTCATACCCCCAAAATGTTGGGTGTTCTCATAATGGACCACGTTGCACCAGCCACAATGCTGATGTTTACTCATTTAGACGTAAGTGCATAAGAAGAGGTTGCTGGATCAGGCCAATGGCCCATTGAGTCCAGCATCCTGTTCTCACAATGGCCAACCCAGATGCCCCAGTGGGAACCCACAAGCAGGACTCGAACACAGGACCCCTCTCCCCTCCTGCTGTTTCCGGCCATTCAGAAGCATTCCTGAGGCATAGCCATCGTGGCTAGTAGGTATTGGTAGCCCTAAATCACATGGCGTTAAGTAAATTAAACTCTTTCTTAAAATATACAAGGCTGCTCAGCCCAGGCCTGGTGAGCACATCAATTCGTCCCAGTAGATCTTGCCCATATTATGCAGTTGTGGGGGTCTCTGCCTTCCCATAGCTACCTAATTCTCCTCCTCCTCCAAAGTCCTTCCCAAGCAATCTGAGACTCCATCGCTGTGCCTGTCTCTGTTAATAATACCCCACTGCCCCAGCCAGAGCCGGGCTCAGGGCGGCTAACACCAATAAAATATCAGTAAAAACATAATAAGAAAAAAGAAACAATTTAAAATACAGGTTAAAATGCAATTTAAAATGCAGCCTCATTTTAAAAGTCAAAACCATAAGGGGAGGGAAACATAAGGGTCAGACTGAGTCCAAACCAAAGGCGAGGCAGAACAGCTCTATCTTGCAGGCCCTGCGGAAAGATGTCAAGTCCCGCAGGGCCCTAGTCTCTTGTGACAGAGCATTCCACCAAGTTGGGGCCAGTACTGAAAAGGCCCTGGCCCTAGTTGAGACCAATCTAATCACCTTGTGACTTGGGACCTCCAAAATATTGTCATTTGTGGACTTTAAGGTCCTCCACGGGACAAACCTCCGTCTCCGGCATGATTTGTGATCGGTTCCTCACTAATTTGGAATATTGGTGTCAATTATGAGGCGCTCCTGAAACGGCATATTATAACAGGCTACAATCAATCAGCTGCCAAGATCTTCTCTTTGGATCTTTGAAGGTATTTGAATGATTTTTATGAAGATTGAAACCCCTTACAACAGCTAGCAAAGAAGGAGGAGGACAAGGTGCTTTGTGCTTTCATATGTTTTCCAAATGGTCTTTTTTTCTTCTTGACCTCTTGTGCAAAATAGATGCTCGTAGTTGTAGCTATATTATTCTGTCTGACACCGAGGGAAAGATGGGGGAGGCTCTTGATTTCTGCTGAACAAGGAATTTAACAAAGTTTTATTATGCCCTCCCCCCTCAACCGAGGTTGAATGGACTTTATTTAAAATTATCTTTGGACTGGTCCAGGAGTAAAAAGGTAAAGGTAAAGGTACCCCTGCCCGTACGGGCCAGTCGTGTCCGACTCTGGGGTTGGGCGCCCATCTCACTTAAGAGGCCGGGGGCCAGCGCTGTCCGGAGACACTTCCGGGTCACGTGGCCAGCGTGACAAGCTGCATCTGGCAAGCCAGCGCAGCACACGGAAATGCCGTTTACCTTCCCGCTAGTAAGCGGTCCCTATTTATCTACTTGCACCCGGGGGTGCTTTCGAACTGCTAAGTTGGCAGGCGCTGGGACCGAACGACGGGAGCGCACCCCGCCGCGGGGATTCGAACCGCCGACCTGACGATCGGCAAGTCCTAGGCGCTGAGGTTTTACCCACAGCGCCACCCGTGTCCAGGAGCATGAGGGAGAAATTAAGAGCAAGATGATGAACGGCTGCTAATTAAATCTGACAAGAGGTTTCATTTGTGAAAAGGCTTTATCTTTTGCCGCGTGCCGAAGAACCCCAGAGTGGAATTTTAATGGCGGAGAATGGACATCTTATTTATAGACGCAGCCTTGTACGCAAGCTGGGAACAGCGGAAGGAAAGGAAAGTTGTTTTGTAAACATGGCAGTGAACTGGACAAAAGAAGAAAGCGACTAACTCTCCCAACACACCAGGTCTGAGAACATTTATGAAGGACTACATGCGCTGTGGGTTAAACCACAGAGCCTAGGACTTGCCGATCAGAAGGTCGGCGGTTTGAATCCCCGCGACGGGGTGAGCTCCCGTTGCTCGGTCCCAGCTCCTGCCCACCTAGCAGTTCGAAAGCATGTCAAAGTGCAAGTAGATAAATAGGTACCACTCCGGCGGGAAGGTAAACGGAGTTTCCGTGCCCTGCTCTGGTTCGCCAGAAGCGGCTTAGTCATGCTGGCCACATGACCCAGAAGCTGTACACCGGCTCCATCGGCCAATAAAGCGAGATCAGCGCCGCAACCCCAGAGTCGGTCACGACTGGACCTAATGGTCAGGGGTCCCTTTACCTTCTTACATGCGTGAAATGGATTTTATATTTATGAAAAACAACAGAGGTGCTGTATGTAAGGAAACAGTAAAAGTCAGCTGCGAGAATGGACTAACGTCAAGAGAAGGATTATTAAATGGAGATCAAAGAAGGATGAAGTGGCTACATGAGGAAGTAATGGACATATGTTTGCAACAGGAGCGGGGAACCTGATCCCCCCCCCCAAGGAATTGTATTAATTGTGTGATCTGGACTGATTTGTAATAATTTTGGAAACTAATTAAAAATATTAATTAAAAAAAGAAATAAGTGTTACATTTAAGGCAGTAGATAAAGGATTCGGAGAGAAACACCAAGGATGGGAAGTCAAAAGGTTTTAACGGAATATTGCATTGAAACTGAACTGAATTTGTAAAACTGGATGAAAATTAATAAAAATTGATGCAAACGAAACAAAACACATGAGGAGAAGACCCAGAGAGTTCTCAATGAAGTGTGTTTTATTGTTCTTATGACAAGACTTTGAAGTTTTCTAGTGCCGGCGATGTAGTCAGGCAGGGGTGCCTACAATCCATGGGAATGGATGGTCGTCAAGGTTGGACTCAAGAATAGGCTGCCTTGCAGGTGGGCCCTGGCTAACTCAGTGCCCGGTCTCAGGCAGGCGGTGGGATCTGTTGTGAGCATCTATGAGGGCAAGCTCCAGCACAGGCAAGAACTCAGTGAACTTCAGCTTCCCATCACGGCTCTTGTCTGCTTTTTCAAACATCTTCTTGATGTAAGCATCCTGGTTCATACCGGGCTGCGGATAAGATTAAGGAGGAGTAAGCAGGAAAGGGTTATATTTATTTGTTCATCATCATTATTAATTGCCCGCCCTTCACCCTAAGGTCCAGAGGCAGGTTACAAGATTAAAACACAACATGAAAACATTTTAATGCAACTTCCATCCACAGAAATAAGGTGAGCTCTTAAAATATGCATCTTCAGCTTCTCCAAAAGCTGTATAAGGAAGGCGCCAGGCTCTGGAGACAGAGTTCCACAGCTTTGGGGCCACAGCAGAGAAGACCCTGTCCTGCGTCACCACCATCCCCTGAACATCTGAGGGTGGAAGAACTACCAAGAGGTCCCACTCTGCCGATCTCAGCACCCAAGAGGGTCTTGAGGGAAGGAGGTGGTCTTTCAGTTATTTGGGGACAGATTCCAGCTCCCACCAGCCCTATCAGTCATGGCCAGTGAGCAGGGGGTTGTGGGAGTTGTAGTCCTGCCCCTGGTCTTAGAAGAAGGCAAGAGCTGAGATGGTGGTCTCTCAGGCTCAGGAAAAGCAAGAGGTGGTCTAGTTCAGGGTTTCCCAAGTTTGGTTCTCCAGCTGTTTTTGGACTACATTTCCCATCATCCCTGGCCACTGGTCCTGCTAGCTAGGGATGATGGGAACTGTAGTCCCGAAACAGCTGGAGAACTAAGTTGAGGAAACTGGGGTCTAGTTAAAGGCCAAGGGAGCCACAAATGTTATTGCACTCCAACTCCCATCAGCTCTATCCAACATGACTAAGGGTCAGGAGATTATGGGAGTTGGAGTCCAGCGTCCTCTGGAGGGCCACGGGAACACACACACACACACCCCAGGACCAAGAGCTTTGCCCCCATCCCTGTGGCCACAGTTTTCCCAGCTGTCCATCAGTGCTTACAGGTAGAGTATCCTTCAAGAAAGGCTGAGCTTGTTCCTTCAATAGCTTCTCGAACTCCTTGAACTGCAGGTAGTCATCCATTGGGTTCCGAATGGCATACTGGTGGAAGATGTTAACTATGCACTCCAAAGCCTTCTCCATGAGAGTTTTCATCTTGCTAAGCCTTTGGGAGGATACAGAGGAGAGGAGGAAAAGGAGAGAGGGGTTCAAGGCTCAGCTCTGCCTATAAGGGGAGTCAGCAGAGTAACCAACATGGTGGCCTCAAGACGTTGCTGATTTCCAGCACATATAATCTCTGTAGTTGGTTGAACTACAACTCCCATCATCCTTGTCCACTGGACTCTGCAGGTTGTGGATCATGGGCATTGTAGTCCACTCACATCTGGGGATAACGAAGCCTGGGCTACGCTTACTGGACATGGCTCTCCTAGAATTCAGGTGGGTGACATTCTCAGCCCTACTTCCTCCAAATCAAGTACGATTCTAGTCCTCATGGTTTTGAATGAAGGGCTGATTTAAAGTGATGGCATCCAGGACCCAGAAAGAACACATCAAAGCCCCTTGGAAGCAGCTTTTAAAATGAGCCTGCAAATTTGCCTACAAGACGTTTTTACTAGTCTGCTAAGCAAGGCTGAAAATTTTCCAGCTATGCCTCCAGTGTGGCCAGGGCAGTGAAAAATAAAATAAGATAATGGACTTTCTAACCAAGCAGGTGGGACGCGGGTGGCGCTGTGGGTTAAACCACAGAGCCTAGGACTTGCTGATCAGAAGGTTGGCGGTTCAAATCCCTACGATGGGGTGAGCTCCCATTGCTCTGTCCCAGCTCCTGCCAACCTAGAAGTTCAAAAGCACGTCAAAGTGCAAGTAGATAAATAGGTACCGCTCCGGCGGGAAGGTAAACGGCGTTTCCGTGTGCTGCTCTGGTTCACCAGAAGCGGCTTAGTCATGCTGGCCACATGACCTGGAAGCTGTATGCCAGCTCCCTCAGCCAGTAAAGCGAGATGAGCGCCACAACCCCAGAGTCGGCCATGACTGGACCTAATGGTCAGGGGTCCCTTTACCTTTAACTGAGCAGGTTTTCAGAAGATGGAAAGAAGGTTCATTCTAGACTCCCTCCAGTAGCCCTAGGTATTTCTGCATTGGTAATGGAGGAAGGGACTCTGGGTTAGCCCTACTCAGAGCAGACCCATTGTAATGGATGGACTGGGCTAGCTTAGCTCCATTCCTTTCAATGGGCTGACTCTGAATATCCCTTGGTCAGCTACTGCCCTCTCCTTCCTTGGCAGCTAGCAGCAAACCAAAGCAGGCAGAGGAGGAGAGCAGTTCCCATGGGAGGCTGCTTCCAAGCCACCTCCAGGTTGGCTGCCAAGAGATGAGGACTTACCTGAGTTTCCAAAGGGAGCAGGATCCGAGAAGAGAGGTGATGTGAATGCAGGCGTCGAGGCAGGCCGGTTTTTATAGCCTCCTCAGCTGCGGAAGAGTCTTGCAAATCATCCCGCCTTGTGCTGATTTCCTCTCCTCTGGAAAGAAGCCTCCCATTGTGAAATGTCAAATAAGCACCTGCCACACCCGCCTTGACGAAATCAAGGATGCATTTTGTCAAGTGTGACTTAGTTGAGATCCCTGCCTTGCAGAGGGCTGGAATAGATGACGCTCCGGGCCCCTTGAAACTCTGCAGTTCCATCGTTTTAGCTGTATAAGGCGGTTCAGATACATGTCTGTCAAGTGACTGATTGAACTGCTTGTTTTGCCTCCCAAATAATAATAATAATAGAATAATTTATTGTTTATAACCCGCCCATCTGGCTGGGTTTCCCCAGCCACTCTGGGCAGCTCCAAACAGGATTGATGATGATGATGATGATGATACAGTGGACACTTGGGTTGCTAACGTGATCCGTGCGGAAGGCAAGTTCGCAACCTGCAGCGTTTGCAACCCACCCCCTTGCCTCTTAACACTCCCCTAAGTAATCCCACTTAGGGGAACACTGCATTAGGTAAAGGTAAAGGACTCCTGGACGGTTAAGTCCAGTCAAAGGCGACTATGGGGTTGGGGTGCTCATTTTGCTTTCAGGCCAAGGGAGTCGGCGCTTGTCCACAGACATCTTTCCAGGTCATGTGGCCAGCATGACTAAACCGCTTCTGGCATAATGGAACACCATGACGGAAACCAGAGCACACAGAAACGCCGTTTACCTTCCAACCGCAGCGGTACCTATTTATCTGCTTGCCCTGGTGTGCTTTCAAATTGCTAGGTTGGCAGAAGCTGGGGCAGAGCAACAGGAGCTCACCCTGTCGCGGGGATTCGAACCGCTGACCTTCTAATCGGCAAGCCCAAGAGGCTCAGTGGTTTAGACCACAGCACCACCCACCTCCCTGCCACTGCTTTACACCTCACCCAAACCCCAAACCCCTCCATTGTTCACTCAGAACTGCCCCCCATCTTTTCACAACTGGCCCCAATCCTAAAATCCTCTTGCTGCTGCCGTACTCAGAGAAGAAAGGAATGAAGAGGCGAAAGTCTTTCTCCTGGCACTGACACTCATTTCCTTCTGTCGGAGGTGAAGAGAGAAGGGGAGAGAGATTTCATCCTCTTCATTCCCCTCAGCGAGCAGCAGGTGATCTACAGTGTGACGCCTTTTCCCCTTGCAAAAATATAATATAGTAAGATAAGCAAGACCCTGCCTCCTTGCTCTGCTGGCCTGAGACCCCACAGCACCAACCTGCCTGCTTCCCCCTTTCTGCCCATTGTTGCCATGCTGCCATGTGCATGGCCCCCTACTGGCGGCTGCGCAAACTACAGCGTGCTGACTTTCCCCCTTGCAAAAAGTATCATTTGTTGTTTAGTCGTTTAGTCGGGTCCGACTCTTCGTGACCCCCTGGACCAGAGCACACCAGGCACTCCTGTCTTCCACTGCCTCCCGCTGTTTGGTCAAACTCATGCTGGTAGCTTCGAGAACACTGTCCAACCATCTTGTCCTCTCTCGTCCCTTTCTCCTTGTGCCCTCCATCTTTCCCAACATCAGGGTCTTTTCCAGGGGGTCTTCTCTCCTCATGAGGTGGCCAAAGTCTTGGAGCCTCAGCTTCAGGATCTGTCCTTCCAGTGAGCACTCAGGGCAGATTTCCTTCAGAATGGAGAGGTTTGATCTTCTTGCAGTCCATGGGACTCTCAAGAGTCTCCTCCAGCACCATAATTCAAAAGCATCAATTCTTCGGTGATCAGCCTTCTTTATGGTCCAGCTTTCACTTCCATACATCACTACTGGGAAAACCATAGTTTTTACTATACGGACCTTTGTTGGCAAGGTGATGTCTCTGCTTTTCAAGATGCTGTCTAGGTATATATAGTAAGGTAAGAAAGATACTTCATGGTGCTTTGGGAGTAGGGAGCTCGTAGGACGATGGGGGTGGGTCCAGCATCACCCGGAGGGCTTCAGGGTCCCTATCCCTACAGGTAGACAGCAGTGCACTTGATACACCCGTGATCTGAATCATGGTTGCTTCCTAAGCGTCTAAAGATGGCAAAATGGTGTCATCTCCAACTGTGCTGTCATTTACACTGCCATCTATAGTTGAAATAGCAATATAACAGTTAACTCGGCATCACACTTTCCGAAATTTTCCTACCTGTTGCAGGATTCAGCAGGCGTGAAATACAATAAAGAGTGGAGGCGAAGGGCAATAGACGGGCAGGAAAGAGGAACTCCACCCTAGCTTGGCTGTCTGTTGCCAACGAGTCATTCTCCACTAGATCTCTTACCAAAATCCCCACTAGTTTGTCCTGGAAGACGGATCATGCCTCTGGCACTTTGGGGAAGCAACTCCCATGTTTTGATTGTGCAGGGTTGCAGCACATCAAAGGTAAATATAACCTTGGCCAAATCAGTTATGGAAATCCAGCTCCTACAGCTAACACTTAGGCCAGGAAGAGTTGGGACCTTCCAGCCCGTGTTGGTGCAAGGGGAAAATATAGATGCCAAGATTCAAATTTGGGGCAAATACTCTTTGGTGAAAGAACCCCAGCAGAGATTTAAAGTCACTAAATGTGCAGCAAAGTAAAGTGTAGAAATATAGGCGGTTAGCTCTTTAAAATGTGTCTTTGCAAGTGAGTTCCCCCAGCAGAGGAAAAGAGCACGTTTCATAAGTTCAGCATGGTTTATATACAAACTCTACAAAGGTCAGGTTCATATGCTGTTGCATACATCAGTCGGAAAGGTTGCACAGGCAGCAAAACTTTGTTCAGTTCCAAAGTCATGAAAGTTCCGAAATTATTGGTATAGGAAATCAAGAACGGCTTCTGAGAGCCATGCAGTTAATCTGGAATGACCAGCTTTGCTTCTTCACACTGAGCTTCTCAGTAAATCTGGAGTGGGGTGAAGGAATAAAGTCTTGATTGCCTTGATTACCCTTTGAAGCTGAGCTAAGGCCAGCAGGACAGCTTACTCCATGGTCTTAACCCCTTCATGCATTAATTAGACTTAAGCCTGTTGGTTCTATGAAGTGGGCTATCCCACAGCCCAGGGGCCAAACGTGGCCCTCTAGGCCTCTCTATCTGCGCCTCAAAAATCTCTGCAGGCCACATCCCGCACAGGCCCAGCTTCACCCCTGAGTGTTTCTGCCTGTCTGCAATGTATCCATGAAACTCCCTGATCATGCCCCTTGCTTGCCTGGGTGGAAGAGCAAGAAGGGTGTGTTCGTATATGTAGTAACTATGCATATAGGACCTATAAAATCCTATGTGGCTTAGGTCCAGACTATTTGAAAGACTGTGTACCCTTATACAAACCTGCCCAGGTTCTGAGATCTTCAAGGGAGGCCCTTCGCTTGCTCCCACCCCCCTCACAGCCATGCTTGCTGGAGACACAGGGACAGGGCCTTCTCGGTAGTTGCTCCCCGTCTTTGGAACTCCCTCTCTACAGAAGTTCAGCTGACTCCCTCCTCCTTGTCATTCCACAGGCAGGTGAAGGCTTTCTTTTCTTCTTCTTTTTCAATTTTAAAATGTATTTTGACAAAGTAATAATCATAAATAAATAAATAAGAATAAAAAACGTGCACCCCACTACCGAGACCATTCCATTGTAACTATCCAACCTCCCAAAATTTCAACACCTCTTGCGATGGTTTGACCCCTTTCCATTTTAAAAGTACAAATTCTACAAACACCCTCCATATCTCCTCAAAATCATTTCTCCTGCATATTCCCCCTCTTACCTTAATGGCACATGTTAATTTATCATTAATAGTTATATCCCACACCTCTTTATACTATTTTCCCATTTTATATTCTGCTTGCCCCTTCCGCTTCCTAGCTATCATAATTTGTGCAGCTGTCAATAAATTTGTGAGCTAGTCCTTCATAGCCTGCGAACCTTCCACCCCACTGTAAATTGAGACTAATGCTACCTGTGGACTTTCGGTCAGCTTTAACCCAGTGATTTCTGTTATCCACTTAAACACCCTTTACCAGAAAAATTGTACATATTTACACCCCCACCACATGTTGTAGCCTTATTGGAGTTCACCGATTGGGTCTGCGTTGCTCCGGGACAGGAGGAAGGAAGTCAAATGACACCGAGATTGATTCCAAGAAAGAGTTTATTCTGCTCTCCGGATAGCAGAAGGCACTTGCATGATCAAGTCCACAGCAAGTCCAAAGAAATGACAAGTATATACAGTGGTGCCCCGCAAGACGAATGCCTCGCAAGACGGAAAACCCGCTAGACGAAAGGGTTTTCCGTTTTTGAGTTGCTTCGCAGGACGAATTTCCCTATGGGCTTGCTTCGCAAGACGAAAATGTCTTGCGAGTCTTGAGATTTTTTTTTCACTTCCCCCCCCTTTATCTAAGCCGCTAAGCCTTTAATAGCCTTTTAGCAGCTAATCCGATAAGCCGATAAGCCTTTAATAGCCGCTAAACCGCTAATAGCGCTAATCCGTTAAGCCGCTAATAGGGTTGCTTCGCAAGACGAAAAAACCGCTAGACGAAGACACTCGCGGAACGGATTAATTTCGTCTTGCGAGGCACCACTGTATCCTCCAGGCACCCTCCCCCTCCTTCCCATATAAATCCAACCACGTCAGCCTATGTACGCAGGTTGACATCACATATGTTCTTGCTCTGGTATTCTTAACCATAAAAAGGAATTCCTTCCTGTACTTCTAACCATAATACCACAGTGATAAAGCAATGACAAACCTAGATAGCATCTTAAAAAGTAGAGACATCACCTTGCCAACAAAGGTCCATACGTATAGTTAAAGCTATGGTTTTCCCAGTAGTGATGTATGGAAGTGAAAGCTGGACCATAAAGAAGGCTGATCGCCGAAGAATTGATGCTTTTGAATTATGGTGCTGGAGGAGACTCTGGAGAGTCCCATGGACTGCAAGAAGATCAAACCTCTCCATTCTGAAGGAAATCAGCCC